AAAAAAAAAAAAAATTTTTCAGAAAAGAAAGACAAACCAATAACAGAAAGTTCCATACTTAATTCCCAGAGAATTCTTACATATGAAACAATCTGTTCTTCATACAAAGGAGGTAGACTTTAGGTCTTTTAGATGATCTTTTCTTAGTACCTTAGAATAAAATTGCATAAAAGACAGAAAGCACACTTACCTTCAAGGATATTAATTTAGATAGATCACCTATCTGGTGTATGTTATTATCTGATAAATCCAGGTGCTGTAGAGCTGTGCAGCTATTGATTTGTTCCATTGCCTATTACAAGAAAATTATCATATTAAGGTACTAAAAATAAAAAAAAAATTTCCCCAAGTTTTGTAGCTAAAAGATCTCCTGCCTCCTCTTATTATCCTTAAAAGCAGAGCTGAACAAGAGAAAGGGGAGGTGATGCTAGTAAACTGTCACGTCGAAAGCTTCCACAACCACTATCCTTCCTAAAAGTATTGGCTACCAAATAGTTCATACCTTCCCAGATAGTGACAGCCTGAAGAACTTTAGTGACATGACATTTGGTACACAATGGAATGTAGAATGAAGCCAAACAGCTGGGATTTAAATCCTGACTCCACAACTTCCTACATGTGTGACACTGGGCAAATTATCTTCTCTGTGTCTTAATTTTCTCCTGTATACGTAATGGGATAAATAACTACTGATATTCCTACCACCAAAGCTGTCAAGACAGTGAATGACTTAATATAGATTAGGTGCTTAGAATAGTACCTAGCATAAAGTCATTGCTCAATAAAAGCTAGCTATTACTTGGAGCAGGGAGATAGTTCAATAGAATAAGCGCTTGCCTGGCAAGTGCAAGGGCCTGAGTTTAATCCCCGGTTCTGCCAAAAAAAAAAAAAATCATAAAAAGAAAAAGGTAGCTATTACCATCACTTAATCTAGTCTACTCACACATCATATCAAAAATTAATCATAATAAAAAACACAATTTAATTTTGCTAGTATTCAGTTTTGGAACTGTCTCACTGCTGTTTGTTTCTCAATAATTTTTTTTTTTTTTTTTTTGCAGAACCGGGGATTGAACTCAGATCCTTGAGTTTGTCAGTCAAGCGGTTATCCTACTGAACCATCTCCCTGGCCCCAATAAAATTATTTAAAAACAAAAAAAAACACAATTTATTAACTTACCCACAATAACCTAGTCACTGAGTATAAAAGCAGGACTAGAATCTAGATCTGCTTCTCCATTATGCCATTAAATATTTACTTAAAGTTTAATTCAGCAGGATGCTACTTTTGTCCTCACCATTCTATTGCTTGATCTATTTTTCTCGTAAGTATAATACAAATTTTTTTGTTCATGTTTAAAGGAATACTGGGCCAGGGAAATAGCTCAGGGGCTTAAGTACCTGCCTGCCCAGCACAAGGTCTCAAGTTCAATGTCCAGTACCATAAATAAATAATATACTGTATTACATGCTTTACAATAGAATTTTAAAACTTACGTTAATTACAGATTATCCCTGGGGAGGGAAATGGATACTTGTATTTTTTTTTTTTTTATTCTACTCTATCTGGTTTTTTTTTTGTTTTTTTTTTTAGCATTCTAAAACAGTTTCACTATGCAGTTCAGGCTGGCCCTGAACTCATAGCAATCCTCCTGCCTCAGCTTCCTGAGTGCTGGGATTGCAGCTGTGTGCACACCACATCCACTACTCTAGATTTCTTTTTTAATTTTATTTATTTATGTGTGTGTGTGTGTGTGTGTGTGTGTG